GGTACCAAGCTTACCCGCGGGCAGGGTTTGAACTCGTTAATACCTACTTGGACTGGGAATATTGCCCTAAGGTTTCAGCGTTCTAGCTTCTCAGGTCCCCGAGTTATGAACTTATCCGAAAAAAATTTTGGCGGGCCCGTATGCGGATACCACGCGGGTGATGGCGCCAATTTTGGGGATTGGGGCCGGCACATGTATGAAGACTAAGGTTCGGAAATTTCAGCCCCGCAGCTTTTATAGGTCTTAAGATGAAAGTGCGTGACAGGCGCACACACTGACAACCCCTCGTCAATATGGGTTTTCTGCATTGCATAGCTGCAAAAAACGCATAAAAAACTAATTACCAATAAATGGCATTCCAATTTAATGATAAATTAATGACAATTTTTGCTAGCGATTTAGTGAGTTCCATTTACGAACTGATCAGAAGCTTCCCAAAAAAAATTTGTGTGGATGATTGTAGCAACTTGACAATTCTGTTTGCTATTTGCATTAAATTCTGAAAACGTGTTTTTAGAAAATTGTTCTTGCCGACCAAGCGGAAGAAACAACAACTGAAGGAGCAGCAGCAATAGCAGCGGTGACAAAAGAAAATGCAGAGAAGCCAGAAGCTGAGGAGGAAAATGCTGGGGCTATGGGAGAATGCGTCTCAACCATCTTCAATAACGACGTTCTGTTGTGTGAAAATGGACTGAACATCCCTGACCCAAGCTTCTGTTACGGCCTTGTTGAACAGTATTGCGCTGAGGTGACGTTTTGTTCTAGCGGAAATTGCATGAACAATAAGTTGTTTTTCTAGCCAACGCTGTGCGAAAGCAACCCATGGCGAGTTGATACTGTAACATCTGTTAAGCAGGATTAGACCGATTTTTGTTATTTCCTCAAAATTTCTCGGGAGATGATACCATCAATTACGTTTATGTTTGAAGGTCAAAACATTGGTAAAAATATTGCTATTTGACCGTTGACCATCCCATTGTCACTTGAGCAGTAAGAAAATAAGCTGGAATTTCGCTTTGGAAATAAGCAAAATGCATTTCTGTTTTCAGTTTTATTCTATGGTAGTGGAAACTGGGTGCTGGGAGGTATGTAGCTCTTGCCTAAACGTCAAGCGCATCTAGCACAGACGCGCTTGACGTTTGAATGCTCTCCAGCCGTACTGGTTCCCTATGCAAACTTTTAGTGGAGATTTGAGCATTTTTAATTTTGGTACTTTTAGCGCAGATCGTGTGAAGATCAAAACGGAGAAGAAAATCATGTCGAGGAGCCCATTCACGAAACTACGGAGCAGCCGCAGCAGGATCTAGAGGATTCAACTGTCCGCGTACCAGTAGAAAACGGCAACAGTACTTAAGACGATTCTTCCTAGAAGAATTGATTTATATTCATTGCTATTAGTCATAGTACCGTTAAATAAAATATACTTGAGTTAAATAATTCGTGATTCAACAAACTCAGCAAGTTTCAATACCCACACACAAGACGATACTCTCTAAACCCTCTTGCAACCCAAAAAAGCAGCTTTTTTACACAAATCGGACGGGATGGTGGTGGGAGGAAGTCAGTGCGTATTTTAATACTTCGATTAGTTGCGCACGGTTCTCCAACTACTCTATTAGAAATTTTTCCAGTTGTTCTGACTCATGTTTCACATGGTTAGTCTATTGGTAGTCTTGGCATTGATTTCGTCTTAACGGCTTCTTCGACAAAAACGGCCGACGAATCAGTTGATTGGAGATATCACCTTGCTTCGAAGGTCGCCACAGTGAGATTACTCATCAACTAGGGCTGCATCACGGGTTGCCAAAAACTCACAACTGTGCGCATCAATAAGCTGATATCTAAACCCTTAAGTACTCAAGTAAAGGCTCACTCACTTGCTTCTGCGCATAATCTGGCATATTTATGCAATCGCAGGCTATTCCTGTGCTTTGGTACTGCTCCCATAGGAGTCCCGCAAACATAATCCCAGTAATTTACATATCACACAGGTGTCAAGGCCGCTTTTGCGAAAATTTGGGTGGTTGACGTCGGTAATGTGCTATCACTCAGGCTGCTTACAAGTGCCTCTACCTCTTCCAAAGAGTGAAATATCTACCGAGGGGGCGGAGAAAGATCTTTAATTTGTTAAAAATTTCGAAATCATGATCAAGAATTCATTCCATTACTCGTTAAATTTTGGTTTTTATGCATTCTTGCATATATGCAAATGCGAAAACGCATATTGCGACGACCCCGATGTGTGCGCATGTATGTATGTGCATATATGTATGTATGTATGTATGTATGTATGTATGTATGTATGTATGTATGTATGTAT